ACGATCTACGAAAACTCCCTGTTTACTCGACATGTACCGATTCATGCAAAATTAGCGTAACTTCCTGCGCGTACTCGGGAAACCCTTGTCCATGTGTACAGCACTTCCTGAATGGCGAAGACGATGCGGAGTTATTCGCGAGATAGTAGAGAGTTTTAGTAGATCGTTCCGATGACTCCCAATAATGACACCCGATACTTCCCCGCAACCTTAGCTGATGCATCGCATCGTTATCGGGTATTGTTATGGGTAGTCTTGGAGGTATCGGAACGTCTGCTAAAACTCTCTAGTGAATGACTAAGCATCAACATACACCCCCATCGAGCACAACACGGAAGAAGGGTTTGAAAGGTTGACAGGAGCAGGCACGAAACCTGTGACGCGGGGGGGGGGGGGGGGGGGGGGGTTGTTGACTGGCACACGGAGGGAGCCAGCCAAAACGGGGCTGAACTTGACCACAAGATAGCGCAGCTCGAGATAGACAAAAACCGTGGGCATAATCGGCCCCAAGCGCAGCATCTCGCAAAACGGTCCCCTTCCGCTATGGTCCGAGCTGCATGGTCTGCACCAGGGAGCGGCCCGAGGGTAATCCCAGCTCGACAGACTAATCTCCGCTCAGTGTGACCCGTGGGGTAATTTGTCAAAGGGGAAAGGACTCCAGGCTCGGGGATTAACGAAAATATGGGGGGTCAAGGGGCTTCCAAAGCTGGCAACAGAAGAAGCCATACCGGCTGACACACCTCCGAGCTGGGCAAGGAGCGCGGCTTGAGCGGCCACAATGGGTCGAAGTCATTAGACGGGGGGGCCAAGCCGCGCGGGAAGACTCGGTAGTTATGCGCTCTGCGGACTTCTAATGGACTGGTCAGTGGTTCTGTCCAGGGGGTTCGAACGGGGGCGAGTTCGTGGCTGTTGTGGTCGCGTCACGTTGGGGGTGGGGGGCTGAGTGACCAGAGGACAGGGTAATCGGGGCGCAGATGGCTCTCGGGGTCTGCGCGAGAAGATCGGCCGAGATTCCGCGACATCGGCGCCGTCGTTGACGGGGAACCATGGAGCGTGTTTGTAGGGAATTTTAGTAGTTCCGATACCTCCGATAACGATAAACGATAGGACGCACATCTAGAGGCGTCGGCGCTGTATCGAAAATTGTTATCAGAGTTATCAGGACGACTTACGAAAACTTCATAGTGGAGATACAGTATGCTGCAATCCGCCGTTCGCTCTATAAGCTGGTATGGAGTTGGGTTTAATGGAATTCGGTTCAACAGGTAGCGCCTCGAGACAGCCCTCTGCCGCATTGGTCCGTTCACAAGCTCGAACATCCGAGTGTCCCGCCGAACTGTCACACAGCAGACCTGCGCGGGTGTTCGGTATAGCACGGCCTGCCCATAGTTGTCCTTTTTGGCCACCTGCCGCGCCTCCCCGTGTTCTGGGGCGCTAAGGAGGTGCAGAGTTGCCATTCATACGAAAATAAACAGTCGGTCTTCAGGCGCTCCATAGTGACGTCATTATGGAAAGGTGGTCATGGCAGCTGGCGCGCCTCATTTAGCTTTTTACCCCGTTTGGTATACATGGAAGTGCGCACGCACGCCGCCACGACCACCGCTTCATGACGCTGTCAGTACGAAGCGGCCAATCGATCGCACGTTGAACTTGCTATGAATCGCGACTGAGCGCATATGGGCGTCCTATGCATCCTAACAACCGGACGAGTCGACCGTTCGTGGCCGATTTCGCTCGTCGGTTGAAGTGACTTCACTTATGATTACAAGTTACGTGAGAGTGAGGCATCGTTAGGAAGTAAACAAAATACTTTAGAAATTAATAAATATTTTGTTAAATGAATATATGTTTTAGTTTACTAGAATTGGTGAAAGTTTAAAAATGCAGCAGATGCTCCGCCTCCAATGCGATTTTTCTCTTTTTGATATCACTTCGTCGCAAGTGCAGCCCAAGCCCGGCGAATGGCAACGTGTGCTTACCGAAGGCAGATTTTTCGTTCTAAGCATGTCACCGACTACAGAGAAGCCTGATTCTACCCTAGAAGTGCAACAAAGTTAGCCTCCTATAACTTTCAGTCCGATATGCAAAGTCGAAGATGCTATCGGTGGTTTGAAGGAATAAAAACCGGCTATGTTGTTTGATATTCAAATGGTTTGCTGTATGATAAAAATAATACACGCACGGCATGGAGAGAGAACTCACAGAAATGACACGTTAAAACTGAAAGTCGCCTATAAGTAAAAATTCTGGATTTTAAAATATACACAAAAAAAAAACACACACATTTAACTTTTGTCAAAAATGAGACTGTTCTCTAAAAGACAAAAACGCATAAAAAGTTAAAAACTGATGCTGCCTTTTGGCGTCCTTTCTTCTTCATACCGCTTGTTCAGGTTCAGAAAAGTAGACGAACGTATAAAGAGTTCCTTTTTGGCGTTATGAAATTCGAAACAAACTTGAAAAAACTATTGCAATAAAAAAAATGTCGTAGTGAGAATAGATCTCGAGAGTTGTTTGTCTCGCCCCTCACAGACAGACTCTTCGGTACTCAAGAACGTTTCGACATGCACATGTTTCGGCGTACGGCGTTTCAGTGCAATGGTCTGTCGGAACACGAACGTTTCGGTGCAGACGATTATTCCGAAGCAAGAGAGATTATTGCTCAATGTAGCAAGTGTGGTAGACACCTGGGACTCAGTCTTGTACGCTTTACTGAAAAAAACTAACCGATTACGAATACAATTACTTTATTGAAAAATGTAACTAAATACAGTATTCAATTACCCCATCACATAAGTAATGAAAAATTATCATAAATTAATTTATTACGTTTTACGTTGCTTGTTTTTAATTTCTTATTCCGAAATCAAAAATGCATACTTTCATACGTTCAAAGTGGTTAAATTTTGCTTTTTTTTTTTTTTTGTCGCTCACACATTGTTATGCTTTAACAGCAGTTTTCGTTCAAAGTTCTCGTCAGTCATCATCCCAAGTTTCCTGGTGAAGACACCTGCCGCGACGCCGAAGAGCCTCTCTACGGATGCGCTTGAGGGAAGAGCGGTGTTATAGCGCACAAAACAGTTTGCGTTCCAGTTCGTGGTTGCGCAGTGCAGCGACGGACGCTTCCGAGACCTCTAGGAAGCGAATCGCATTACTGTTGCGACCCCCCTGTTGAAAGCGTTTCAGGGGAGGGGGGGGGGGGGGGGAGTGAAAAAAATTGTACATAGGAAACAAGGCACTCTCGACAGCTCGGCAGTCAAAACGTTGCTGATTCCGTTAACGTTCTAATCTTTCTGCTATTTTGGTATCTTCTTTTAGTTGTGTAGGGGTCAAAAAGTGTCCATCGTTGGTGCAACAGAGGGGCGACGCACGGGCCGACAGAGTGATTTTTTACGTAAAAAGCTCAACTGAATCATTTTAGCTCTCCCGGAAACATATAATTGACTACTCCTAACTGATTACAAAAAATAGTCATTAAATTACACCAAACGTTACCACAAAAAAAATAATTGAAGCGTTACAAAGTTACAATAAAACGTAATTGGTTATAAGCGAGCGGTCCAAGTTTCAAGGGTGAGTTTCCCAACTGAGAGTTTTAGTGACGTTGGGCTGCACTCATCGTAGTTTGGCCGTTTATCGTGTCCTTGCGTTTCTTCTAAAGTTTTCTCGATCACAGAATGACGAGTGAACTCTTCCTACATAGCGTCATAGATTCTTTGAATCACCGGCAAAGGAGAAGAAGAATACCCGCCATGGCGTGTAAACACGGCTTGCGCGTGAACCCGTCCCAGCATGCGGGTGGTCATCCATACTTGTTTTTTCTGCGAAAACAAATTGTTTAGTGAAAAAGGTAACGCTGCCGTCATTACGCGCGCAGCAGAAAGGCCACCACAACGGAAGCTGATGTGACGTCAGCGCGAGCCATTTATTGAAAAGTTGTATTACGTTCCGTTCGCGATGTCGCTGCATTCGTGGCGTGCGTCTTGCATACCACTCTTACCGCCTTTCTCTTCCTATCACAGATGGCTTCACAGGGTCCTCCCGAAGTTTCGCGAACGCGGGCGGAAGTCAGCGCGGAATGATCTCACAATTCACGCAGCATTCGCCTCATGGTGCCCGAAAAGCGGCCCTCTTTGCACACCTTGAAAAGGCTTTCTTCAAAGAAAAGATCGAGGCAAAATTCCCGCTGGTTGCGCTTTAGAACAGAGCCACAAAGCCCGCTCACGCTCGTACCTTTCCTCGAAAGGCGCTTCTTCCAGGCTCGCACGTGCGTCTGATCCGCATCACCGCCGCTCGCAACTGCAGCTCCAAAAGACGACTCCCGCGAAACAGAGAACGTTACAAGCATGCAGCCTTTCGCGCGAGCCCGACCACTTGTCAGTCCGCCGTGCCGCCGCCGTCCGCAACCCCCGTAAAAACACGTCCGGAAACACTAGGCGAAGCTGGCAAAAGCCGGTCGCGCGCTCGCGATCCAGGCAGGCCGGCGCTTCAATCGCTGCCAAACGCGAATGTCATTCTCCACCTTTCCCAGATGGGTCCCCTTTTCGGACCAGTTGTGCCCCCCTCCCCTCTTTCGAAAGGGGCCCGGCCCGTTAGAAAGCATGCCCTCTCCCATTGATCCCGCGGCGGAGGGGGGCTTCAGCTGGCTTCAGTCGGGTCGGCGGCTTCGGCTTTTGGCTACTACCTTTTTGCCGCTACCTTCTGGACGGCCATTGTGTCGGCTCGGCCAATGAGAAGCGTCCGGGGGCAGCGCCCTCGGCCGGCGGAGGCGGGCGCTGGGCCGCTCCCCCCCTCATCGATGGACTCCCTTGGCTTTCGTTTTCGCGTGGGGACCTGGGGAAGTGCGGCTTTCTGGCTCGGCAGTCAGTGGCTGGGATTGTGTGTGTGCCGACGTGTGGGGAACAGCGCCGCGCGTCGTCGTCGTCAACGCCAGGTCAGCCACGGGAGACTCGGGCCGTAGCCGCGGGTGCGCCGGCGTCGGCAAGCTGTTGTTCACCGGCATGGCTGCGGGGGTCAGCAAACCGCCCGGGACGTCCAGTAAGTGCCTTTTCAACTTATCCTATTTTCGCCTCTCCGTTTGGTCGACTTTGAGCCAGTCAACCCGTTGTGCCTAGTAGCGGTCGCTGCAGTATACTGTCTATGAGCTTCGAAGACCTACAGTTCGTTTCATTTTATGGCACATACCAATACACCGAATATCTGCGGTTAACTTAAAACTTGTTGTTGGCCTAGTTGGTTCATGATGCAGTATAGAGGTTTTTTGCGCGACACAGGGGACAATTACAAGCGAGTAGACACGGACAAGCGCCAAAAACCTCTAATCTGCGGTTAACTATTCGAATCTCGCGGTTAGCCGCCATGACCAAAATTGTCTTCCCATCACCGCTTCACGTCTTTCAATCCCCTCTCCCCTGCCCGTGCAAATCTTTCTCCCGTTGTGGGAGGATAACCTTTACGCATAGACATTTCCCCTCTTCTTGTCTTCGCAACAGCAATAACTATAACCTTGAACGACGCTTGCAGAAGCGCGCGTGCTTGGCAGGTAAGCGGCGGAAAGCACGAAGCTCGCTCTCGCGCATCAAGTAAAACAGTACAAATACAGTGAGAAAAAAAATTTAAAAAAATCAGAGATGGTCAAACATATTTAAACGTGCTATTAAGAGAATTGGTAATTGGAGATTAAAATATCCGAGGAGTTCTTGGCAGAAATCGGTTGCGTTCATGAGTTTTTGTTTTAGTGGGCAAATTTATACTCCCAGCTATTTACGCTGATGTGATTTGGGTACCGTTATCACTGACAGAATGAGAATAGCAGGGTGTGTCTTACGAACGCCCGGTCTTCAGCATGCACACGCCCCATGCCTTCCGTCGTGCTTCCGCTCAGCGCACACGCTCGAGGTGGACGAGAAGCAGAAGCGTTTCAAAGGAAGGAAGCCCGCATGGAGCCTGGACAACCGAGGTTCTTCCCTGACGTGTTTACCTTGTCAGTGTCTTCCATAAGAAAAACAGTGTCCCGCGTCCAAGATCATGCATGTATAAGGCAGGAGCAAAGCCCCGTTAACTTTAGTTCGCACCCAATATGGCACATCACTCTTCAAAGCAGGCACAGTATAAGCACCAGCAGAGGATCGAGCGGCGTGTGGCACCAAACGCACGCATCCCAGTGGGACATTTCGAAATGTCTACGCAATCGGCTTATGTGCTACAATGAAAGTTCGGCTCATGCTATACACCAACTCATGCTTACAAACAAATCGGAGCGCCCGGAGCGCCTCTAGCGGATGCCACCGGCGCCGCGCATGCGCGAATGGGGTGTGGGCAAGAAGCTCGCCGTCGCCCACAAACAAACCATTAAAATGCAATGTTGTCGGCGTCGGTGTGAGTCCCCGCGCTCTTTTTCGCGTTGGAATTGTTGAATCTACGTCCTCCTAACGATGTCTGACTACTTGAGCGGCGTTAGCGAAATTAACGAGGCTCGTTACACCGCAAAACTTCGCGTGAATAATGTGACATGCGGCGGTTCATTCCGTGTGGACGCCGCAGAATGTACGCTAAAGCCTGATTCACATGATGAGATTTCGCTCGCAATTTTCAGTAGCGACGTCGCTCGGTTTGCAAATGCGTGAACGCAGTCCGTAATCCGAAATGTGAAATGCTGAGATGGTCGACGTCGATACTGAAAATCGCAAGCAGAATCTAACCAAGTGAATCAGGCATAACAAGCCGGTGATAGCTACTGGTAACAATGATCAACATCTCCTTGTATCTACTGTTTACGTCGAGCCTGCTTACCAACCTTCAAACTTAAGTCTTTTGAGGTCTGCACTTACTTCTTATCGCAGTACCCGGGCCCACGTTTGTCTACGGGCCGGTGTCCTCTAAAAGAGCAGACGACAGTTCGAACGATCAGGCGACCGTTTGAACTTGAAGACGCACTGAACGTAATCCGCAGGTGGTCCGTACCACTTGACGGTTTTCCGGCGTTCATTTTGGAACAAAACAAATAAATCTGATGGCCATAAGTATCTGTGAATTCAGCCCAAATTGCTTCTCACCCAAGCAATCGTGGTCCGACGGCGTTTGGTTTCCCCTTTCAGTCACGGCACATATCCACGTTCTCGGACGAGCCGAGCGCATGAAAACTGACCTTCAAACCTTTCTCGACCCTTTTGGTACAGCCCCAATCGCAGCATTTTGACAAGAAGGCAGGTTTTGTCTGGTTCCTTTCAAAACAACGCAGGAATACACGTATCAGATGGGCACTTCCGCCCACAACCCCGGACCGGAAGTGCGTCCGACGCGCCACCACCGCGCCGTGACGTAACAGAGATGAGTTCGTGTATAGACCAGTGGTTCTAAACCACTGAAATTTCGCGGACCCCTTGGAGATGATGGAGGACCCTGTTCTGGACGAGGGGAATAGAAAGGTATAGGTTAAGTATGATAATGATTTAATAAATGTATACAATAATGGCTAGTGTGAACTAGACTTATTAATATAAACACGAGAAAATTTACCCGAAATTTAAAACGTTTCTTCTCAATGTAAAAAAAAAAAAAAAAAAAATCTTGTATAGCTGGGCTTGATTGATAACACAGGGCTTCGCGGACCACGAGGATGCCATCGCGGACACCCCCCCCCCCCCCCCCCCCCCCCCCCCCTTCAGAACCACTGCTATTGACATTCACCGTTGAACACGTAATGGGTGCACACATTACAAGCAATCAAATTACTTGTAATCGGTTACTTTCTGGGGTAGTTTTTTTAATAATTTGGCTACCTTTATTGAGTAGCCAAATTATGCACTACCTCCGCGCCGGTAGTGCATCACTTCGAGCCCAAAGCGCGCAACTGTAATCAAAGCCACTAGAATTTTGAAATCATCACAGTAAATAAAGCGAAGACGCAGATTGGATACGAGCGCTGCATCAGTGCTCGACCGGGCCTCGCGTCATGTCAAGGGACGGACGGCATCGGACTCGGGTCTCATAGTTGAGTTAGCGCCGTCCAACTGCGGTGACGTTCCATCGGGTTGAAGAGGAAGGCGTGTAACGAGGCTAGGTGGTGATACCCTCACCGCTCTACTGTTTGCAAACGCTTCACCTCATGCGAATCCCGTCTCCGCGCACGTCCAGTGCGCACAGATTGTGCGAGCGAACGAAGGCATTGTCTTCGAACAGTGCGTAGAAAATCCTCGCTATTCGCGTATTTAAATAAAGCCCGCTCGTTACATAATTTGTTTGCGACTGCATCAACGAGGTCTCATCGAGAGGTCGACGGGCCCCAACAAAGCGTCGTGGCTCGAGGCGTGGCTCCGAGGGCCCATTCGTCACGCGGCTAATCGACTTCACGCGTGCAGCCCCGTGCACGACTTCCGCCACTCGAACGTCGTCTCTGGCGGTTGTCAGGCGGGCGCCTCGCTCGCATGTAAGGCGATAGGCCGGGCCTTCTCCAGATCGACTCGCCGCCCTGCTTTACGACGCCGGCGCCGTCTCGTAAAACACTCAGTCCGGCTCGGCCTCATTGATTGCGCGTCAGGAAGGACGTCGAGCGAATTCGCGGAGCCACGGACGCGGACTTACCTGCCCCTCGCTCAGTAATGAGAGAAATTAGAAACCAGCGAATAAGTTTAAACAGCCGGCGCCGCTGGCTCCCGGCGGAAAGGGGAAGAAAAAAAGAAAAAAAAAAGGGGGGGAGGGGGGAAGCTCCGTGTAACACTTTTTATTTACTATAAGTGATTGGAAGGCGTCGCGGATTTGTGTGGTTAGCGATATGCCTCCCCCACCCACCGAAAGTGGTCCCTAAGTCTTAACAACTGACCTCATGGGAGACTGCCTGGCATTTCGTCGGATGTCGCAATCTTTGCGGTTGGTCGAAGAAGTTGCTTAAGAAAAAGTCGGAATAAAGGCAAGTATCGCTGTCGCGGAAGGGTACCAGCTCCTGAAGCTTGTGGGGACTGCCAAGCTGGGAAGCGACCTGCGGAATAGGCGTCGGCCGCTTCCACCTCCGTTTCTCTGCCCACCACCAGGATCGCGGCAGGCATCTACATTCCACTTCAATAACGTCATCAGGTGGAAATTGGGAGAAAACATTTCAGGACGCAGTAAACACAGTTAGAAACGCTTTCGGGACACTTACAAATATTGCTGTACTACTGCTGTACGTTTATAATGTTCTTACTCGTTCGCTGCACAGTTGACAGCACATATTCCGCCCTTATTCTCGATATGAGTGAATATCGTACACCGGACTGCAGTCGTGTATCACTGACACACGTTTAAGATCCCCTGCTAGCAGTCGTACTACGCTGGCTAAATTTTTCATCTACAGGGTGTCGCAAAAGAAAATTTACAGGGTTTTTTTTCACCGCAAAAATAAACGCATCGCCGAACGCTCATTCTCAGTCCGAAGGTAGCTCTAGAGGTCACAACCAGATGCCAAAGTTTCAGCCCGATCCGATAACTTAATCAAAAGTTATAAGTGATTTTCTGAAAATTTCAATGGGAAAATGGAGCCCGTTTTGCCCGTTTTCGGTTTCTGGTGCCATAGAGCCCCATGTATTCGAAAACTCCGTCGGCCGCCATTTTCCCATTAAAATTTTCAGAAAATCACTTATGACTTTTGATTAAGTTATCGGATAGGGCTGAAACTTTGGCATCTGGTTGTGACCTCTAGCGCTACATTTAGGGGGAGAATGAGCTTTCTGCGATGCAATAAAAAAAAAACTGCAAAAGTTTTTTTTTTTTTTTTTGTGACACCCTGTACATGTGAAGACATTAGATGCCTCTTGAGGCAGACTATGTAGATCCCGGTGCAGAAACATCTATAAAGTAAGTTTGACTGTTTGACACTACCACATTTACGCGCTCGTATGTTTCTGTTTAGCTTCAGATAATGAAGCTTGCTGCATAAGTTTTCTGTGGGAAAGAAAAGCAATGCCGAATTAAATCGGAGCTCTTGAGTAGGTGGAGGGGAGGGTACGGAGGAGGAGGCATTCCTTCGTCGTGGCCTTCACGAGTGACCGTGACGTCACGCT